TTTTTTTAATAATAAATTAAAAAAAAAATTTTAAATACATATTCCATAGCTGTCCTGTTCTTCATTATGAAAGCTTATTAGCATAGACTTGTGTTAATAACATTTATTGAGCACCTACTATATATAGATCACTTTTTCTGCACAGATGGAAAAATTATCCTTCCTACATTTAAAAAATGTTTAATTGAATGTCATTTCAGTATGACTCTTTAGTCCTGATTTTCATGAATACCCTCTAAATTCTTTACCTCTTATAATAATTGGGGTGGTGGACATCATCTTGCTCTGTTACCTCTTTCAGTTCTATATCTTGTCTTCAGATACTAACTTTATGGGCACCTGGGTGGCTCAGTTGGGTAAGCATCTGACTCTTGAACTCAGCTCAGGTCTTAATGTACAGTTTGTGAGTTGAAGTCCTGTGTTGGGCTCTGTGCTGGGCGTGAAGCCTACTTAAAAAAAAAAAAAAAAAAATCTAGCTTTATATAAAGGAAAGAGTCTTCCTTTATAATTACTTTTTACATTCCTTCTGTTTTTAATACTTATAGCCTATATTTTTAGAGCAGTATTTATTTATTGTTTGCATAGGTTTGCAAGTTGGGAGTAGGGGATTGGGGGTGGGAAAGAATAATTGTTTATCTGTGATTGCCTTAATGTAGAATAAGCCTGAGACCCAGAACCTTAGAACTTTGACTTCCCTTACTTTGTACTTATCATAGTTATCTATAGGAATATCTGATTGTGTTCTATAAATTATGGCCTGTTTACAGGTTCATGGAGACAAAGTAGCTCTGTTTTATGTAAGGCAAGGGCCTATGCATTATTTTATTGGATATGGGCTCAGATCTCTTTGCTTATTCTCTGCTTTAGTATGAAGGAATCAAACTGATGTTTGATCTTTCCTTGTTCAAATGTCTAAAATAACTTTCTGGGTATTACTGTCATTGGTACCCTTGACTGAATTTCCTTGTTCATATCTGAAACTTAACAGTGTTTCTTGGGTGGACTTTTGAATTGTGTTCTGTCGTGTGCTCTAACTCACCATTAGTTTATAACTTAGCTATTTAGCTACATGATTTTACCTAGAAGTACTCAGTGGTGTTGCTGAAATTTAAGTTTAAGTGTTCTCATTTGTAAAATATGGATTATAACTACCTACCTCATAGGGTGGTTGTGTTGATTAAATGTGATAATAACACATATAAATTACTTACCATAGTCCAGAAGACATTTGATAAATAGTAGTGCTAATGGTTGTACTTTTTTTTTTAATTTTTTAAATTAATTTATTTTTTATAATTTATAACCAAGTTAGTTAGCACATGGTGCAACAATGATTTCAGGAGTAGATTCATTCGTTAAGCCCCTTACCCATTTAGCCCATTCTCCCTCCAACAACCCCTCCAGCAACTCTCTATTCTCTATATTTAAGAGTTTCTTATGTTTTGTCCCCCTCCCCGTTTTTATATTATATTTGCTTCCCTTCCCTTAAGTTCATCTGTTTTGTATCGTAAAGTCCTCATATGAGTGAAGTCAGATATTTGTCTTTCTCTGACTAATCTCGCTTAGCATAATAGCCTCTAGTTCCATCCACATAGTTGCAAATGGCAAGATTTCATTATGATTCCTGAGTAATACTCCATTGTATGTATATACCACATCTTTATCCATTCATCCATCAATGGATATTTGGGATCTTTCCATACTTTGGCTATTGTTGATAGTGCTGCTATAAACATTGGGGTGCATGTGTCCCTTCGAAATGGCATACCTGTATCCCTTGGATAAATATTTCGTAGTGCAATTGCTGGGTCATAGGGTAGTTCTATGTTTTAATTTTTTGAGGAACCTCCATACTGTTTTTCAGAGTGGCTGCACCAGTTTGCATTCCTACCAGCAGTGCAAAAGAGATCCTCTTTCTCTGCATCCTAAAATCATCTATTGTTGACTGAGTTGTTAATGTTAGCCATTCTGACAGGTATGAGGTGGTATCTCAGTGTGGTTTTAATTTGTATTTCCCGGATGATGAGTGATGTTGAGCATTTTTTCATGTGCCAGTTGACCATCTGGATGTCTTCTTTGGAGAAGTGTCTATTCATGCGTTTTGCCCATTTCTTCACTGGTTATTTATTTTTGAGTATTGAGTTTGGTAAGTTCTCTAGAGATTTTGGATACTAACCCTTTATCTGATATGTCGTTTGCAAATATCTTGTCCCATTCCGTCAGTTGCCTTTTAGCTTTGCTGATTGTTTCCTTCGCTTTTTATTTTGATGAGGTCCCAGTAGTTCATTTTTGCTTTGGTTTCTCTTGCCTCTGGAGATGTGTTGAGTAAGAAGTTACTGCAGCCAAGACAAAGAGGTTTTGCCTGCTTTCTCCTCTAGGCTTTTGATGGCTTCCTGTCTTAAATTTAGGTCTTTCATCCATTTGAGTTTATTTTTGTGTATGGTGTCATAAAGTGGTCTAGGTTCATTCGTCTGCATGTTGCTGTCCAGTTTTCCCAGCGCCATTTGCTGAAGAGACTGTCTTTATTCCATTGGATATTCTTTCCTGCTTTATCAAAGATAAGTTCGCCATACGTTTGTGGGTTTCTGGGTTCTCTATTCTGTTCCATTGATGTGAGTGTCTGTTTTTGTACCAGTACCATACTGTCTTGATGATTACAGCTTTGTAATACAGCTTGAAGTCCAGGATCGTGGTGCCTCCTGCTTTGGTTTTCTTTTTCAATATTGCTTTGGCTATTCAGGGTCGTTTCAGGTTCCATACAAATTTTAGGATTGTTTGTTCTAGCTCTGTGAAGAATGCTGGTGTTATTTTGATATAGGTATTGCATTGAATATGTAGATTGCTTTGGGTAGTATTGACATTTTAACAACATTTGTTCTTCCTATCCAGGAGCATGAAATAATACTTTTCCATTTTTTTGTGTCTTCTTCAATTTCTTTCATAAGCTTTCTATAGTTTTCAGTGTATAGATTTTTTACCTCTTTGGTTCGATTTATTCCTAGGTATTTTATGGTTTGGGTGCAATTGTAAATGGGATCAATTCCTTGGTTTCTCTTTCTATTGCTTCATTATTGGTGTATAGGAATGCAACCGGTTT